TGGCTACTTGCCTACTCACAAACAGTATGGTTTCAATCAAGCCATCTCCTGTTTGTAATTACCTGCAAGCCTTCCCCGCCCTAGTTAATTGCAGGTTAACTCCCCATATAAGCAAGGACCTTTTCGCTTGCTATTTGGGCCTAGACTCCTGGTTTAGGCCTAAATGCACAGCTCCTGCAGGAAGCTCAGTGCAACGCCGCAGATGGAGAAGAATGCAGATAAGGACTCCAGACGCCATTGCAGAGAAACTCCCACGGATGCTTGCCTTTTGCTGTTTTGAAGCACGCAAGCTATCATCGGGACTGTTGCTGGACCTTTTTCCTCCCACAAGCTTCAACAATGTTTGCTTTTTGAACTGTTTTAGCTGTGAAGTTTGTGCTGCCCCCACTTCAATTACCTTGATGATGTATCGACGCCGAAGCTGCTTACCTTCATGCTAGCTTTATTCTCTTGTGAGCTGTTTCGGTATTGTGGAGAGGGATCTAGGGAGATAGCCTTGCTTCACATACCCAGATAAGACTTTGTTTTTAATGTGCTTTCTTAAAGACATAGTGCTTTTTAAATGTTTTAAAGTAAATTATATTTTTACACAAGACGCCTATGTCAGATTTATTTCAGTCTCAGAGTGTTTCCTCATGAGCTGGTTCACAGTCCTGGGTACCCCTCAACCCCATTTCATAACAGTTGTTAAGTGAATTGGCTTCATTGGTCAGATGGTCGCAAAAGGGGATCACGTGACCCCGGGACACTGCAACCGTCATAAGTACATGCCAGTTGCCAAGCATCTTGAGTTTTGATCATCTGACCGTGGGATATTTCAACAGTCCTAAGGATGAATGGGCCACTGTTTTTACTGTTTTCACTTCAAAGCATCACTAAATGAATGGTTGTAAGTCAAGAACTGCCAGATATTTAACCCAGGTAGTCCTCAACCTATGACCACAATGGAGCCCAACATTTCTGTGGCTAAGTGAGACATTTGTTAAGTGAGTTTTGCCTCATTTTACGACCTTTCTAGCCACTGAATCACTGAAGTTAAATTAGTCACACCATCGTTAAGCGAATCCGGCTTTTAAGAAGAGATTGGAAGCTTTTAAGAAAAGCTTTTAAGAAGAGATTGGACCACCATTTGTCTGAGATGATTGTAGGGGTGAGCTCGGGGTGGACTAGAAGACCTCCAAGGTCCCTTCCAACTCTTATTCTGAAATAATTGGAGAATTCTACTCAGTTCAAAGTTCAACTGATTAAGACAATAGCTGTGACTCAGGAAACAGCAGATAATTATGCTCAACGAGGGCATTCAAAATACCCAAAGACATTATTAATAGGGTATATTTCTCACAGACGCTGGGACCCTGAGCGTAACACGATCTCATATTGTTGTTTGACTTATTAGCATTTATTTCATGTCTGAAGTCTCTTCCAGTAATGAAACTATTTTTGTCCAATCCAGAAAATGTACAGCAAGTGAATGGCAGCTCAAATCTCTGGAGAAACAGGAGACACCTTGTGCCGTGTAACCCCCGTAAGAAAGAAGGAAGGGTTAGGTGCAAAACTGATCAAAACTTTTTCTTTTAGCAATTTTTTACCACCCATCAGCTGTGAGAAAATCAGCTGTGCCTGATTGTCTATGAGGTTCCTGCTAGTTGCAAGGAGCATTTTGTGTGAAGTCCAGCTGCTTTTGCATTGCGTGTGAGTCAGTTGTGCAGCTTTTGTGTTATTTTTGTGTAAAGTGTGATGGTTTGTTTTTTGAGCGCTCTGTGACTCTGTGAGGTTCCTGTTTGTTGCAGGGGCCATTTTGTGTGAAGTCAAGCAGCTTTTACATTGTGTGTGAGTCAATTGTACAGCCACGCCCACCCGGTCAACTGCCCACCAAGCCACGCCCACCCGGTCAACTGCCCACCAAGCCACGCCCACCCGGTCAACTGCCCACCAAGCCACGCCCACAGAACCGGTAGGGACAATTTTTGAATTTCCCCACTGCTCCAACTTCCAACTGGGTCATTCTGGGAAAAGCGCCTTTGGGTTAATTTTGGAGACACGCTGCTCCTGGAAACCTCCCCCCCCTTGACCAGTTTTGGGGTCCCTGGCACTTCCGGTGGCGCAGAGGCCCTCCGTGAGGGACGGCCCACTGAACTCTCAGCCACGGAGGGTGCGGTGTGGCTTGCCAACTCCTCAGCAGATGTGGCAGGGAATGGCCAACGTTTTACCTGCCTGGGCTTCCTTGGAAAGCAAACTTCGGGAGTGGACCAGGGTTTCCGTGCTTCGGAAGGCTTTCATTGCTGCAGAGAAGAAGCAGCAAAGGCCCAGGAGCAACGTAGGCTTCCTGCCATCAGATCAGTTGGCAACCCTGGCTCCTTCACAGGGAGATACCAACCCAGAGGAATACATGGGCGGTCCTCGACCTATGACACAAGTGAGCCCAACGTTTCCGTTCTGAAGCAAGACCGTTGTTAAGTGGATTTCCCCCCATTTTACGAGCTTTCTTGCCACGGTTGTT